GTAAGAAGAGCCACCATGAAAACACAATGCCAGTGTCAGTAATTCCTTGGCAGAAGTACAGGATTATGGCAAGAGAATTACCAGGAATGAAAGACATGCAAGAAAGTCTGGTGTCCATACAACCACACCAGTCAGAGCCCAACGAGACCATTCCACAATATCTGTTCACTCCACTCACATTCCTGACCTCATACAGATCCTTCGGTGTTTCACTGGAGCCAAAAACTTTATGCTTGTTCACTAGCACCACTCACATGATTCAATTCCTATACAGCTAAAAAAACACCAGGCACATTTTAGTAGTAAACGAGACACAATTTATACCTTATCTATCTTTCTTGGATTTTTGTCCATGTCTTCAACTAAATCAGTAAAACAGCAATGTGAATTCCTGAATGAGACCCACTTTGTTTCGATACAATGAGAGCACTTCATGTCTGACAGTCTCTCCAGGGGCTCAGTACAGGGCTCATTCTTTCAGGATTAGATGTACATAACATCATGACAATCAACAAGCTGACACTGAGAGCTGCGGAAAAGCAAAGCCTGCAATTACTGAGGAAGACCCAAAACATCCCAAGTACATTCCCTGAAAACAGGGCCCCAGTAAATACATGGGTTTCAATTCTACTTGATTTCCATCTCAATTGCGTAACTAAACACAGTTCAGTTCCATTACAGCTCCTCATTGAAACCTCCTGTCCTCGATGCTCAGTCAGATGGTCCGTCGTATCCGTCCTGCCCTTCAACACAATGATGCACATGACTGTTGCCGTGCTCTTAAACACATCAGCCTCTACGCACTTCAGAGTTTTCCATTAAGCAAACACATGCCTCTTTGCATCAGTGCCCTTTATTATAAAATGGGCTGTTTTGTTTTTGAAAAAAACAGCAAGAAGTATTTTCATGCAGCATAACTGCTGACCCAGCATATATTAAACTTCGCACTCACAACCATAGAAAGAAAAGTGGGGTTGGTTCTGGAAGAAAATACCGCCTCAGAGTTTAAAGATGAAGAACTGTTTTCATGTGAACTAAACGCCTGAAAACAATAATCTCACCATCTCAAATGTTACATGCACTCTGCACCAGTGTGTGAAGTCCAACACTGTTCTAAGAGAAAAATAGCAGGAACAATTCTTGTTAAAGCAAAAAGTGCAATCCCCTTCCTACTCACCCCTGATATTTTTCTATTTTATCAAGTAGAAACAGCACATGTTCCACATGTAATGCATTTGCAGGAGCATTCATAACCACTCAGTGTGCAATGATGACTCCAGACCTAGAAGAGTCAAAGATTATACCAGGAATTAACGATCATATAGTAACCTTTTAATCCTGATCTTCTCCAGATAGTCTCCTCAGCATGAGCTTCTGCTTTAGCTCCAAATTTTAAATCCCACTGGTTAATCCTTCCATTCTGGTTTTATTCAATATTTTTCAGTGACCACAGTAGATACAACATTCACTTAGCCCTGTCTCCACGCTCCACACTGAGCTTTCTGCTGTGCTCTGGAGCTGAGGGAGCCAAACAGAATGACAACACCAGCTGGGTCCTAGTTTCTCCTGTGTTAACTGAAAGAATTCCATTGTTCTTCCATGTTCCATCGAAGTACCTCTGCAGATACTTTCAAGGCTTGGTACACACTGAATGTGGTCAAATGGATCAAATAAACATGTGAGAAAAGGTTATTTTAAGGAGTTACTATAGAAATTAATAATTTAAGCTCTGTTTCATAAACTCTCAAGGGAAATAAATGACAAAAGGAGAAAAAGATTATCATTAAACTACTTATACAGTTCTAGAACCGATACACCATAGACATTATGTGATTAAATTGGCCAGATATACAGATTTAAGGAAAGATATTTTCAGAACATAACATCTGCAAAAGGGACATTTTAAAGATAGTGAATGGGAATGAACTGATTTTAAAAAGCAGGTGAATTAAAACAAAGTTAGTGCCACATTGAATATTGGACCTATGAATTGTTCTGTACAAACTTTTTTAACAACTTACAGATGCCAGTCAGGAGGTTTTTCCAATGGGCAGACAAATCAACAGGTTACAGGGCTTCATGCACTGTGTGTCAATCAGTCATATGTTCAAAGACTGTCATCACTTAAAGAAATGACCTTCACAATTTCTATTTAAAAGCAGAAAAAAGAACCTGATCCCACAGGAGCTCTGACATGATTATCTGACGGCAGCATCTCTATACTCTTCAGTCATTCCCACTTCAAATACAACTCATTTTTAATACATGTGCCACTCTTTCTGGTTTAATTGACTATGTAGATCACTTAGGAATTCCTAGTGAATAATTTCTGCCTGTTGCACGGTTACCACATTTTCTGACTGAATGAATTACCAGCCTTCAATCAGAAAGTGAACCCCACCAGATTCAAAACCATTGTCCTATTAATGAATAAATTTTACCGAAACAAATGAACATTTTCAGCTAGGAGTTAAGAATCATGAAGTGTTCCCTGTTTTCGGTGTTTATTTTTGGTTACATGGTGCCACTTTAAACTTGCCTTTGGCCTGTATTTTTCCAAGTTAAGTTTAAAACTCTGGTGTTTCTCCATTGACACAACTGCTAAAAACATTTTTTTTGGCCCAAGTGCAGGGTTGAGCTCTATGATCACAAAATATTTTTAATTTAAACATCAACCTTGATGAACCTCACTTTACTTGGGAATAAGGTTACAGGCCCTTGAATTCACTCAAACCCTTTGTTATGTATTGATTTTTTTTAAAAGAATGATTATTGTGCCGCATGCATTAAATGCATAACCTAGTATTTCATTTTTAAGACTTTGCTCTTACTTTGAACCATTAAATAATAGATGCTTGGAAAGTAGTTGCAGAATAGCCTTAATTGCAAGGATCCAGCCAGGAACATGTGAAATAATGCAACAGCGCTTTTCTATCCCTGTGAATGCTTTAGAAAAAGCACATCCACTTGGCATCAGGAACTCAATCCAAAAGGCCAGTTTCTCCCTTAGGTTAGGCCCCTCATGCCTCGGCCTGCAGACTCGGCCTGTGCTCTGTCAACAATGCTTTGGCCATTAAGGACAAGACAGTGAGAAAATAGTGAGTGTAGGTAGGGTACTTCTCACCTCACCTCCCAGTGCAACTCAGGCGATTTGCAGCAGAAGACTGTGCATTTCAGAGGCCATTTCATCTCCTTGGCTGCTTCATTATTTCAGTGTAGACCTCCAGTTTATCGCTGGTTATGAGGTTGCTCCGCTGTGCCTCTTCATCTGTTGCAAGAAAGCAGAAAACATCTCTTCTTTTTTTTTCCCCTTCAGTGTATAAAATGGTGAACCGGCTTCCCACTAACAGGTTTCATGTCAAGCAGCTTTTTAAATTTTTTAGCAGCACATCATATCCCGAGGCTGGGAAGCCCTGAGTCAACCCTCAGGATGCAAGGGACTGTGAGGAATCCAGACAATGGCTGTGCTCCCGCCTCACAGTCCACTGACAGCACACGACGTGGAACGAGGACGCACGCGATGCAAACTACATCCTCATAGCAAGGTCGCTTTCCACAAACACGCACTGGTTATTGAAAAGAAGAACATGGCGAGCAAGTCAAATAAGAGCCTGTGAATTAAAATGAGCCTTAAAAGGGAATTAAAACACATTTAGGTCAGAACGGGCCTGCCTACGTCTACGAAATAATCACCAGACTGTAACTGCCTTACCAAGATCAACAGACCTTGGACTGTCTCCCTGGGCACGCGTGACGAAGTTCCCCAGCGCTTACTGTTCGTGGAACTGCGGAGTGGAGAGTGAAGCCCTGTCTCCATCACTGGACATGAAGGGGACGAGAGGGAGAACTGCAATCCTGCGATTTCAAACCACCACTGGGCAGAGCATCCTGCAACGTGAGGCTGCAGGATCCCCATCATCCGGCGTCACTTTCTTACACCTTTTTTTTCCGTCATCTTTATATATGAATTACAATGCTCTTCAAATACAGAATGTAGTTCTTCTACCTGTGTTTTATTAGCATAAAGATGATTCCTTTTTTTTGAGGAATGGCTCATTGTTTCCCAGTGGGGTGTGAGTCATCGCATTTGTGAAAGTCTTGGGGGAATCAGTCAAAACACACAGCAATATTGCTTTTTTATTCAAGTAATTTGGCCTCAATATTCTCACATTTTTAAGATTATGGATTACGGGGCGGTGCGGTGGCACTGTGGCTAAGGATCTGTGCCTGTGGCCGGCAGAGGAGTCCTACTCCGCTGGGCCCCTGATCAAGGCCCTTAACCCCAGCTGCTCCAGGGGCGCCTTATAAATGGCTGACCCTGCGCTCTGAGCCCCAGCTTCTCTCCCTGTCTGTGTCTCATGGAGAGCAAGCTGGGGTATGAGAAAAGACAAATTCCCAATACAATAAATTGCATATGGCCAATAAAGTGATCTTATCTTATTATGAATGAAAGTGGCTTAATTACGGACAGTGACTGAAAGTTGCTTAAGAGTACAAATAACAATTTAAAAAAATGATTTGAGATAGTCATTTCCTCTCATCGTCAAGTATGAATCTACAGTACATCCAGAATGCCCAGATTCAGACTAACATATTATAATTGATCACTGAATAATTTACCTTCTGACATTTAGTGAGATTGCAAATATACAACAATAATGATAGTAAGAAAAGTCGCTTGCTCCTTTTCTAAGATAAAGAATGAATAGAATAGAATTTGATTGATCAGAAGACCGTTTCAAAGTAGTTTTGCATTCCTTAAACTCACACATGCTGTACAATTGCTCTGTTCCTGTTTATTTCGAAAGTGCTTGGCCTCTGTAACAGTGCTTTGAACTACAGTCTGTAAACATCACAACCACCCCCCACCTTAAAATGTAAACTACCTTGTATGCAGCTACTTTGTATGTATCAGGATTTATATATTCAATATTTTTTATTTAATTTTATATAATACTTTAGCATGGGGAGAAGAACCAGTAAAATGTGTGAACCAGGAAATTAAGAAAAATGTCACAAAAAGCATAAGGCACTACATTTAGCTCATGGCGAACATTTAAAATCTAGCTCTCAGGAAAAAGTAAGAACAATGACCCTCATAATACAACAACATTTGGAATATTGTATACAAACATCAGGCAGCCTGAAGTAAAACAATAAATGAAATTGATGAGGTAAGGACGCTGACCCAATGTGAGCAGAGGAGCACAAAAGAGAAGAGTTAAGTCACATCAATCTGCCTGTAGGCTGCAATACAGTATGTGTCCTTTTATACAGTATTTTCAAATCGAATTCGAAAACAAACAAGGCTGATAAGAGAACAAGGTTTGCCACAGGTTAACTTCACCGATGGTGTATTAAAGTATAGCAATGCAGTGTAATTGACAGCAATTATAAAGATTCAGAAACCATGCAGTTTTACAATGTTTTAACACAATAGCATAACAATGTTATGGATCTGGAGCTACTTATGTCTTGGTGAAAAGAAAAGATCTGGGCCCACAGGTGGATTGCCATGTACTTTTTTGAGATGCCAGAGATTGCTCTATATCTCACAGAGAAAAACATAAACAGTATTGAGAGAGCACTGGCAACCCTGCTGATAGTTGGAGGGAATGTTACAATGTCCTGTTGTATATCTCTTGCACACACAAATATTCCCACATCAATCTACAGTAACAATATGATTTTTTTTCCCTGTATAACCAGAAAGCTTACTCACTCAGATAAAATATGGCCCTGGTGTCTTTCACTTGCAGCACAGTTATCAACTAGTCTTCAAAATATAAAAGCAGATTCCCTAGCTGTTCCCAAGATGCTGCATTCTACAACTCAATGAGACAAAGGCTTGATCAGTGTGACCTTTTCTAGACTGAATATCATATCATTTTCCCTAACAAGGGACCATGCAAACTGTCATACACTCTGAAAACACGAGCCCTAGCAACCTTTTACTAGCACTGTAAAATAACTCTGAAGAATGGCTGCCCTTCACACTGCCTTTTAACTAACAGTTTTTGAGGTAAATACAGAACGTGTTGAACTTGTGTCATTGTCAGGCATCCCGGGGAAGAGCTAAAATAAACAGCAAATCATAACACCCACCGACTTAAACACCTCTTGAAAGGTGACTCCTGGTGTCTCCCAGTGGGCTCAGTGGGTAAGGCTGCTTGCACACAGGTAGAGCGCTATAGTCACAGGTTCGAGGCTGGGTCATGGCGACTCCCTCATGCTCTAGAGGCTCACTGTCATGGCCCGGTTCCCCGTCAGGGAAGATGCGGGTCTGTGTTTCTAGTGGAAGAATCGGAGGCATGATAGGAACAAGCTACCCAGCCAAGTTCCTGCAGCCAACTGGGGCCGAACGGCCTTCTCTCCCGTGTGACAATCGTGACGTTCTTCTCTGCAGCCGACTGTGACAGGGGGTCCAGCGGGCGAGGGGCGCTATGGGCTGAGTGCCGCCGAGGGGAGGGGGGATTAGGCGGTTTATCTGAGACACCTCCCGCCCCCTTACAGCCTCGCCGTGCTGCTCCAGACTGGGAGACGACTGTCGGATCTTCATAAACAAACAATTCATAACAACATGAATGTTTTACATCAGTGCATAAAAGTATATTAAGTTGAAAAAGAAACTAAATGTCAATACTATCAAACCGCAAAGATGTACTTCATTAGAGGCTTAAGATAAAAAAGGCCTAAGCAAGAATCCTATAGAAATCTCCTCTGTGTGAGCTGTTCACTTCTTATCCTCTGTGCGTGTTAATGGAGAGCTGTGAAACCCGCTGTGTACTGACTGGGATGCACATCTGCCTCAAAATCAATCACCACAAAGGCGTGTGCTTCAGTACCAGTTCCCCAGAAGAACAGAATATCGCTTTCATCTTACTTGTGCACACACCCAGAGACATACACAGACAGTCTTTTGCTCATTAATATGGTGCTCTCTTCACACTCAAGTCTTGTATCTGAATAAACAGCTATAATTTCCCACTCCAGCAGACACAGCAAGATCACATTTTGACTGATTCATATTGGAGTTCCACTTTGCGGGACAACTCAACACTGAAATGTCTCAAACTGATGTTGTTTTGTGGTGAGATTACACCATCAAACCTACACTAGAATACACCTCTACCCTCGGTATCTGTCATTCCCTGGCGCTTGGGAAATACGACATTATGTATCACTTACTTTCTTGGGAAGTTGCTCAACCCCCAGGGATTTCTGGAAACATCCTAGTAAACACATTACATTGTATGGCCATTTTTAGGTATCATTTTTTCTTTTTTATCTTGTCAAGTAAAGCTGGACAATACTGTATGTTGTTGACAAAACACTTAAGATAAATTTCATGCTAATCAGACCACAAATGGCATTGTGAAATGAGAGAAATCATGATTTCTATATACTGTATACTACATGAAACATTGATCAGAGACTTAACACACTATAATTCGATGCACTCGCTTGCTCCAAAATGAATAGAAGGAAACTTCTAAAGGACCTATTTTAAACAGTGATGGTAAAGGGACAAGTTGTACAAGTTTTCAATTCCAGAAGTAGTTGCAGAAACATCTTAATTTTCTAACGTGTATTAAGATCTAGAAAAGACTTTATAGGAAAGTTACAGGAAATCAGCAAGTTTGTGTAGCCTTTAATTAATTTAATTCTTAATTTTTTGTTTCCTGAATATATTTGTTGAAGAACCTCAAAGAGGTGGTACAATTGTTTCTTATAGGGATTAGATCACCATCAAAGTGGTACTGCAAATATCTGACACCAAAATGGGAACAGTATGTCGAAAATTTTAGATTGCAAATTCACTTTCGACAACCTAGACCTGCTCTGATTTAGAAACAATTCTACCCCATCTAACATCTCACAACACATGGCCTAAACCAGCTAATCACAAATTGCACTGGCCTGACATCCATGTGAACCATCCATTTCCATAACTGCTTGGCCAAACACACGGTGGTCGTGAGCAGCAAGCTCACAAAAGGGGGACGATTTAGAGACTCTGATTAGCCTGGCCAGCATGTCTTTGGGCTGCAGGTGAAAAGCGGAGCCCCAGGAAAATCCCGTGTAGCCCAGGCAAGAAAAATCAAGCTCCACACAGAAGGTGGTCCGTACCTGGACTGCAGCCAGCACCCCAGAGTCGTGTCGTAATCGCCCCATCTCCATGCCACCCCCAGCGCAAACCAACAAAGCATGACATGCTTACACTGCCAAATTTAAAAAATATTAGATTATCATATTTATTATTGATAGGCACTCACTCTCCATTAACAAGAGATCAAGGAGCTTCATTCCTGCAAAAAAAGGATTTAAAATAACTGCATCATTCTTCAAAAGCAACAGGCAGGTGGAAGATGTTTCCTCAACCGCCCCCCGTCATCCACTTTTGTGGAGAAGGACTACTTTTTACATGTTAAGAAGACAAAATCCTCCAAGTTAATGATAAGTTGGTTCATTGACTGATTCTCTGATTGGAGCTTGATCAAGCTTAACTGGAGCTTTAGCATAAACATGTTTATGTAATTATTATGTTTATGTATACAGTCTTTTGTACGCTTTCTAACTGCTTGTGGTCACTAACATGAGAATGAAATGCAATCCAAATCCGAAAAGATAAATGCTACTTCAAGACACTAACAGGTATTAGTTTCACTTGTGAATCTAAGTGCAAGGAGAGCACAGTCTGCAAAGATATTTCTAGCACATACCTCCAATTGGGTCATGCCAGAGAAGAGATGGCAGTGTGTTTTTCAGCCTGACCCTTTGCTATAAATTAAATAAAACAAATGCATGTGTTATGATAACAGAGAGGACAGAATAAAATTAATCAATAAAAACTAAGCATCTGATACTCTTAAACAAACAAAGCATTTGATTTGGACATTATTAGCACATTAGATATTAGCACATAAAAAAACCATGATGAAATATATATGACTGGCATTTTCATTAACATTTCATGACATTTTATAACATATTCGTAAACGAGTCTCCATCTCAGGAGAGCCCTGATGCAGTTAGTTTTATTGGTCACTGGTTTCTAAATACTGGCAACACCTGTAAATTACTGAAGATTTAAGGAAGTAATCTGTTCAACTAAGATAAGACTAAGATCACTCAGATCCTTGCAGAGTACTTAGGTCTGGTCCCTAATGATCTCTAAGTTACTTAATTTAACAAATCACCTGCTTAATTGAGCACAATTAAATTGTTCCAGGTCTTTAGAAATGGGTGATTTAATGATGACCTATAAATCCTGCTGATCTGGGGCTCTCCAAGACCAGACTTAAAGAGATCTTTAAAAGAACATATCTGTGTTTTTATGAACACACCACCTATCCACATGCTGTAAACTAACATGAAGCAGCTGTATGTTTTCACTTCTCACCGTGGAGTGCACCCACAATGGGACATCGCTTTCAACACAATTTGCTCAACTTAATAAATGCCTCAAAGAAAGCTTTAATCGCCAGGAACTTACACAGTACACAGACATGAGCAGCTTGTAGTGTGTGAAGATAACTGACTAATTCAATATTGCACAAAGCATATCCTACAACAGCAAGAAAAACGTGAAGCGAGCGACTAAAATGTAAACACAAAGACTTTTCCCACATTTAATTTGACGATTGTGAGGATGAAACCCAGTGTAATCCCATCTAGCAAAACAGATCTGGTCAACAGGAATGGCAGATGATCAGGAAGGATTGCTAGATTTTCCCAGGGAGGGACAGACATGCTACGGCCAGTCTGTTTGTTCCATCAGGGAAAACGGGAGAGAGTGAATGCTTTTTACTACGAAAAGGAAGACGCACAAAGGAAGACTCTAATTGGAGATTTGCAAGCAAAAAAGAAGACATCTATAAAACCTCAAAGTAGCCAAACTCCAGACTTTTTTAACATAATTTTGTAATATTTAACATTCATTTTTTTAACATATCTTGAACACTACTCAAAAATATTTTCAAACGAAGGGTATCAAACTCATCCAGATAAGGAAGTGCACGTTTAGGGCGGCACCATTTACAACACTATGCCCTGAGCAACGAAAGCCCTGTATTCTGATCTTTCTCTTGCCGCGAGGCTGTCATTTTGACCAACCCACCTCCTGTTTTTGCGAGCAGCTGGGTCTGGTTTGGTCGATTTTATGGACGCTCTCCTCAGCTACAGTACCTAGGCCCAAGGTGTGTTGCATCCCCAGAAACACCACTCCCCATTTCTGGAACAGAATCAGAAGCCCCATGGAACAGCGGTGCTTGCACCGTTGCCAAGGTGATTTAAAGAAGTGGGATTTCAGATTATTTTGGCTACACAGCACAGGATGTGTATCTCCTCCCTCAAACCTGATACTTCTTCTTAGGCTAATTGGTAGTCTTCACAGACTATTTTAAATCACCCAAATACTTTAAACTGTAACAGCCTGGAGAAGTGCAGTGAATATTCATAATAAACACTTAAAATATTTAATGCAAATAAACAAATGACTCTTATGGCACTGTCAACAGAAGCACGGTGTGACACATACAGCACAGCCAACTAATTTAATTCCAACAGTACTGGTACCCAGTTAAGAGTCTTAATGTGCCAAAGCACAAGGTTTTTACAGGCAGCCTTAGCCCTGACCTGAGATTGTACCGACTGCAGGCTTGAGGTGGACAGGAGGTGATGATGTCAGGGCAGGAGTGATAAATGGGGCGCCAGTCACACACTGTTAGTAAATACCCGGCATGGGTCTTCTGTAATGGGCTACACGTCCCGTACGTGCAGTACAACAGGGTGAAGCACTCCTGCAAGTCGCAGCCCTTGATAACGATGTCTGTCAGCCTGACCTTCACCCTGCGTGCAATGCGAGGAGGAAAATAAATCGTTCATCCGCTGATGTGCTTCTTGTCTAACTAACCCCTCCAGCTGAAGGACGGCGGTCGGGTTCGGGGTCAACACCGAGCAGAGAAGAGAAAGCCGACGGCGTCTGTAGCTACACTCGTACAGACCCTCGCTGCGCGGCCCTTTCAGCTCTTACAGCTTTGAGGTTTTCGAATTTAATTTCCTGTGGCTTCTTCAAGTTAGGACAAAAGTGTTATTTTCGCAAGCACAAGGCAGCTCCTCGATGTGAAGTGAAGCGAAGCTCAGCTCTGCGGGCTCAGGGCTGTGGGCGCTCTCACGTAGGCTCGGAATTAACTTCCACATTTGGAGAGGAATGATCTGTACTATTTCCTCTTTGTTAATGACCTCCAGGTACTTTATTGCCAAATAATTTCCACGTTTAGTTCAAATGCTTGCAATTAAAATGCAATGTATCAAGGAGGAGGGCTGACGTCTCTGATGAGCTTATGTCCATCATAATAATTATAATACTGCAAGTAAACGCGGAGCTAACTTAAACGCACCGCAAACTTCAACTACTCACCCCTTTTTTATCCCATGTCGTGGCTGTGCAATCGTGTACAGCAGGGCGATATAATTAGATTGAAATTTTGAAAGGGAAAAAAAAAAGTTAGAGGGAACCCGAGCCTGCCGGGATTGGTCTGTGTATAAAAATGGCTCAACAACGCCAGCGGATCCGTCTCTATAGCAACCATCCCGGCTGTGCGCTCCCTCCCTCGGTCCCTCTCCACCCAGGGACACGGGAGGGGACGCGTGTGGCCTTCCCGGGGGGAAATCGGGCATTTTTCACACACCCGCTCCTCAGACTAAAACTTATCGGTCCTTTGCCGGCGCGGAGGTCGTGTTAACCCGGGGTGACTGAAAGCGAAACGCAGAGGAGGGAGGGAGGGTGGCCGGCGGAAAGATCCGTCGCCCGATCCCTCAGGAGTTACGATCCCGACCTGTTGGATCCCCGGGATGGGGGGTGCCGATGGGGGGGGGGACTGTCCGGAACAGCCCAACCCCCCCCGGGATCCCTCGGTCACCCCCCTCTCCTCTCTCCTCTCCCCTCACGCCCCAGGTTTCAGGCTTATTATTATTATTATTATCTCTCACACCTGAAGAAGGCTCCACGGCCGAAACGTTGTGTTCTCTTTCTTCTTTTTTTCAGCCTGGAATAAACCTATTACTTGTTCCTTTGCAGCCTACGCGTGCTGACGCAGCTACCCACCTGACTTATTATTATTATCATTATTATTATTACTATATTAAATGTGAACTCCTTCATTGTATTCAGTATCTAAATAAGGAAGAAGGCGGCCTTTTAACTATTGCGTTTCTGAAGTAACCTAAAATCTCCCACCTTTGAGTGGAGAAAAAAACCTGCAAATGTTACGTTGAGCAGCTAACTGGTTCAATGAAGAATTCCAGTTCAGTCTAGAGCTCAGCTGCTGTGAAAGCCAGCAGGTTCTGGGGGGGCCCCCCGAACCAGCATTGGGAATCCCTGCATTTCTTGGTTGAGGATAGACTGCCTTCTTGTTTCTTCACCCATCCATCCATTTTCCAACCGCTTTATCCCAAGAAGAGTCACGGGGGAGCTGGAGCCTGTTCCAGCAAGTAATGGGCGCAAGGCAGGCTACACCCCGGATGGGACGCCAGTCCATCGCAGGGCACACGCAGACAGAAACACACTCACACCAGGGCCGTTTATCCTAGAAGCCAGTTGACCTCCCAGTATGCCTTCGGAGCGTGGGGGGGAACTGGGGCACCCGGAGGAAACACACGTGAACACGGGGAGCTCCACGCAGACTGCACCCCAGCACTGGGACTGAACCCAGGGCCCCAGCACCGCGAGGCAGCAACAATCGCCCCGGCCTCACCGGGCCGCCCCTCGCTCCTTCGCCAGGAAGAAATCCACTGTAGGCACGGAGAACGAGCTTTGCCAGCTAAATAAAGAAAAGACAGGAGGCAACAATGACGCTTTAGGAGATCAATATCAGATCTCGGCGCTTGTATGAGAACTCAGCTGGACCCAGGGGAGGGTGTCAGGTAAAGGGTTTGAGAGGCTGTGTTGTATTTTTAGTCCCCGTCTTTCTTCAGATAGGCTTCAAACTGGAACTCAAGCGGTCACGTTGAGCACACGCTTTCTCAGTTTTAAGACACAATCCTACAGTTTTGCCTCTGGCATAAATGAATCAGGATTTAAAAAACAGGAAATGGTATTGTCATGCTGAACATTTGACTTAAACTGTGACAGGCAATCACTAAAAATACACTATAAGACATTCTCACACTGCACCAAAATACCATGTAGTCTGACTCATTTGAGAAGAAAAGCATGTCTTTTGTTCATTTTCTATGCTTATATTTTTCTATGCTTCTTTTTCTTGGAAAATTCAACGGAATAATTACGATTACAGAGCAATTCTCTCTGTAAACTTGGGCATTCTTCACCCTGTGAAAACAACGCGGGCCATTTTATACAGATATTTCTGTTCAACATATACTGTGATTTAATGAAATAAATATTGAAATCACAAACTCATTTATTCATGTCACTGTATTACTGATCGTCTCTGGCTAAGTACATACATTTTCAGCTCTGGTATTGGCTCCTGCACACGATATTTGTACATTCCAGAGGAAATGTGACTGGTGATCCTGTTTGCCCAGCAAGGGAAAAGCCACTGGGAAAAGTCAGTTTTGCTAGCTGTTGAGTAAGGCTGCTTTGTGGCTGGAGCCAATGCATTTGCAGGCTGTAGCTGTGTTTTAAAAAGTATCTTTATCTGTGAAACTAGCTGATGTTCTGAAAGTGTCGGTTACATTTCATTATCAAGCACCAAGGCATAATGATGACAAAGACCAAACTGCACCACTGTAGCCCTTTAATGGGAGACGATAAACCAAGGGAGGCTCAACATTGTTAGGCTACTGGGGTGTATTTGCTCTCCATCGCCCCACAGTTTCACTGTCCACTTACAGTCACTGCCAGCTGTGCTTGTAGGCAAGGCAGTGTGTCCTCCAATCCGTACAGATGGCCATGTGAACTACCTTGTTAGGAATCCCTGCACAGTTGGTTTCAAAGAGCATTTAAGGGAATGATCCCTGTCAGGAGAGAACCGTACATTCACAGATTCAAGATTCAAGAGTTCGAATCTTGCCATATCAACAAACTGGGGAATTTGCCCTCTGTGCAGCACAGATAAAAAAACTAAAAAACAAAACACATATTATATCTCCATATACACAATACATATTATTCCATCAATCAAAGGTCTATTCTACTCATATTCACGTCCATATGATCAATGCAACTTCCTAGATCTACTTCCATCCAAGATCTACATACTGAGGTGCTTAATGGCCTCTGGAGAGCTGCTGTTTTAGAACAAGCAGGACTACATCTGATGCTTTGAAACCTCTTCCCTGAAGGGAGATGTTTAGAAAAGGAGCAGGCAGGGTGGAAGGAGGTGAAAGGGGTCTGTGGACACCTTCCCAGACAAGAGAGAGAAGATCACCTCTGATGATCTTGGGTGCTGTGCACACGACACTTTCCAGCTGTCTCCTCTCTCAGGCTGTTGTGTTGCTGTGTCACGATCGTAAACCCCTCCTCTTTAGGATGCTCTAGCCCTTCCTTGTTTTATTCGTAATCTCCTGCACCTGCCTTCGGTTCCTGCCCCCTGTGCTATAAAAGCCAGACGTTCCTGCCAATCTGGGCTCAGCTTTGGAAGATGGACTTCTAGGAGTGTCTCGACGACATCGGCTTCACAGCGGCATCCTGACCCTCTGAGTCCGGGACTGGGAGCGTCTGGTCCCTTACCCCTCTTTTATTCCCCCGACCCTTCGCCGGATCCCACTCCGGCTTTTACCTCCGTTTGTCTGTGTCAGGATGGATCACCCGGATTTGGACATTGGCTTTCCCTGGTTTAACTTACGGACTCCCTTGGACTTGTTTGCCTTGGGCATACCCTCGCCCCGAACATCAGCGCACCTTGGACACACCCCCTGTTCTTCTTCCAGCCCTTATCCTAGTCTTTTTCCCTGTGTTTGTCTCATTCCCTTCCAGATTGTGCTGTCTGCATAGGGTCCTGAAAGATGTTTGGTCACATGCTGCACACCTCACTGTTTTTGAGAGGGTGACCGTGCCCTTAGTCACAGTGCTGTAGAGGTGTGTCCCTGCTTCCTGATTTACTCCAAATGTCCTCAGCTGTCCTAGGGAGTACAGCCTTTTAGAGTGTCCTGTCATGTTTGTGTCTGCCTCTCAGAATAAGAACATAGGAAAAACCACACCACATGGCTGGGCAACTTGTTCCACTCTTCCCAGCAACCTGATGTCTGAGGTCGATGTCTTTCACTGCCTGGGTGCAAGGAGAGTCAAGTGTCTTGATATTCCAAGTAGCTGAGGATCATGAATTGCTAGACAGTCATCCTTAACCACAGCTAGACAGCCAACAGTATTGAGCAGCCAGGCAGTGATATTTGTTTGTTTCTGTGTAAAGTGACAACAGAAACATGTATCATGCATGGGATTAATTTTTATGAAGCATACCATATATAAAAGTCTTCTACAAGGCAAATTACTCAAGAATACAGGCATGTGGAGCTCTCTCCCACTGTCAGCTTTTCAAATGTTAATTCACTAAATTAATTCATAAATGTTACTGACAAACTGTGAAAGACAGCTTAAAAGAACGCAAAGATTTTTATTTTTATTTTCATTGCCTTTGCTCTTGAGATTCAGGTTACGTGCAAGAACATTTTTGCCAGAATCAATAAATTAATCTTGAGAATTACCCTTCCAGGGACTGGCCTCAGATTAGACGAGGTGTTTTTAAGGAAGTGCATTAACATACAAAACCATTTAACTTGACAAGAAGCCAAACAAAACACGATAATAAAGGCTGCATTTCTATTAAAAATGAACACCCTCAAAATAGATACTGTATGACAACATCTGGGCACAGGGCACAGAGGTGTGTGTACCAGACTCAACAGTGTCACCTTTACTGGGTAAGACATGACACTTAAATTTAGCATAAAGCATAACAAAATACAATTATTGGCCATATGGTTGTAATTTTCTTCTTTTCTGGCTCTGGTTTGACAAGCTGACAATAGAAATTCAGCTCAGCAATGCAGCAGAGAAAGAAATAATAACACAATGTATCTTTCAATGTGACATTAGTTACCACACACATGCCCATTCCACAGAATCTCTCCCCGACAAAACGCAAGCAGATTTTTTAAACGTGGGTAACAGTTTCAGATTTGTCTTTGCTTTCTGGGGCAGGAGAAAAAAAAATCCACACTTTTTTGCATGAATGGTCTGTCAAGGTTTTTAAACACGAAATGTTTCATGATTGTAAACAATTTAATTGTATTTAAAAGAATGTGACTTAAGAGGTGGCATTAAAAGTAGTTAATAGCAAATAGGAGGTACTGTATACTATAACATACAGTGTGGTTTATAATAGAATATAGTGTAATGCGGTACAGGCTTAATTAATAAGGTCAAATTATAATTTTAAATACAATTGCAAGGCATGTAGCAATTCCGTAATCTTTCTGTGTTGATAATTATGCCCCAGTTTTTGTCTTAATGGAAGTGAACCCAGTCTTCCAACAGGAGGACAGCATAGATTGGAATACAGTACAGTATGTAAGTCATACAACCTGGGCTGCATCAGCTTCTAATGTTGATTGTGCAGTCTGGCCAGTAACTTTCATTGTTAATAGCATGAGCACTTTGTTGAATTGTTGATTGCACTTTCTAATCTGTTTGTGCTTTTAATTAGCATTTGTTGAGTGAGCCCTTGGCTGTTAAAATACAACAAAGAAACTGGAGAAGAATGGAGAAAAGCAGCTCAGTGTGTTAGAGCACGCTTTCTGGAGAACAAGCACTCTGAGATATTCACATCTGAAGCTTGTGGTCTAAAAAGCAGAAAAAAATGTGATACAGTTTCACCCTGAATCTCTGAAGTGTTGAAGAAAAGACCAAGTTGGTTTAACAGTCAATATGACACCAGTGTGCAAGTCAAAATAATAAATTCAAATTTGTAAAAGATTATATTGTCAAGAGTATTTCAACTTTGTTTACGGTGTATGCACCATATTTTCTATTTTTCACATATCTGTGAAAAATAAATGTTTCGATTGTAATGAGGGATTTTCCTTCTGAACCGGTCTGCAGATTGGGGATTGGCTGGGGACGCCCCCCACACACCTGAAGCATCAGCTGTGCATGAGGGAGTTAGGAAGCCACTCTTGAGGAAGGAAGGGTTAGTGTGCTCTGTACGTGAGCCTAGCTGGGAGGAAAGAGGGGAGAGTAGGACTGCACAGACAACACAGTTACTCTCACACACCTGCTTAACATGACAAGACCATAGTACAGCAAGCACTCATCTACACAACAATGTCAAAGTGTCAACTTGCTTCTGATCTACGAGGCACCAGCAGTGCCTACTGACCCAACAGATAAAGCACTTGCAGACCAGTGGTCAAGGTCTGGGTCAGGCTCATTAGTCACCAGTGTTGTGAACAGGTTACAACACAGGAAGAGTTGCTGTCTGGTACACTGAGTGAACCTTATCACAGCATCAAGCTTAGCACGATCTGTGTTTCCTAAATCCTCACTGCCCGTTCCCTAGGATCTTATTTCTATCAGCGTCATTCATTCCCCCAGCTACGAGTCTGGAAATGAGTTCCCGGTTTCGGGGTCTTGTCAAAGCCTTCCCCGAAACTCCAGAAACACGTCTGCAGCACTACAGGAGTCTGCACTTTCTGTCGTTTCTTCAAGAAAATGTGGAAGATTCATCAAGCCCTTTCTCCCTCTGCAACAGCCACGCTCACTGACCCTATAACAGACTTCCAGTACAATTTCAATTCTGGTAACATGAGGTGGATTGGTAAATGTACCAAATACCCGGTTCAGTACCTTCTTTTGTATATTGGTTGTATCCCAATGGTAGACATAGTGAGGTAGGTAAGGAGCAGCAGCTGCGTGTAGCACAGTGAGTCCTGTGTCTGGTGAGGGAGAGCTGAGTCCCTCCTAGCTGATGGTAATTGTGAGACTGCGGTGCAAGAAATGACAGGTGGCCCAGGCTCAAGGGTTGTACCACAGAAGCCAGCTTGATTGAAAATTGGTGATTCCAGATTTGGAGGTGGAAGAAGGAGAGAAATAACTGCCCGCTCCGAATTAAAAAAAAAAAAAGCTCTATTCTGCTATTCTGGTCAGCAAATTCCAGTAAATCAGAAATATTCCTCTGTCATCGTTTCCATTATACTGGAGCTCTTGAATGGCTAAATTGGACTTAAAGGTAAGAGAATAAGAAAAAAGAATCTCTAAATCAAGTTTAATGGGCTTCCCTTCAGAAAATCAATGTGTTCATACAGCCTCATAACTTGCAACTCAAGCCGTTAGTTTTCAACGGTGACGGTGAGCTTCTGGAAGAGGCATTATCACAAGCTGGGTGTGCAGCACTTGCAACAGCTGGAGCTGATTTTACATTTAAAAGTAAAAGGTATAAACCGCACATCACGCACACTGTTGTATGATTATAAATACTGCTTTTCAAATAATACTTCACTGGAACGATTTAGGCCTCAATGATATCCTACCACATCCCTTGTGGTATCACGCGGTCACACAAGAAAATATTTAAGTTAGAAAACGGAGGGATAGCCCTCGATCAAAAAAATGTTAAAATATTTTCTGGTAAGAAAGGAGCAATATTTGTTTCCGCAACCGGGACAGGAATTACACTTCCATAAAGAAGGTGTATGGGCACTGCCTTGTGTCGAACCCAGCAAACAGCTTGTGTTTTCTGAACAGTGGATAAAAGACGGAGTGCTGCTCCATTATTTAAAGACAAACGTGCTAAAACAGCTAAAGCACATTACACAGCACTACAAAACTATACTGTGGCCCAGCAGACACCCTCCCTGGTTTAATAAGGTGTCATGTGAAGGGCATTTATCCGGAAACCTAGTTTTGTACTGTTAGCCAGGCTTTCTGTACAAGCACAGGGAGACCTTTACAGAAACTCCTGTTCCTTGAAGAAATTAAGGCTCTGTAGAGTCAAGTGATGCTTCAGATACGTCCCTTCTTCACAGCACAGCACGGCAACATTTTGTCTCTCTGAGAAGGTAGTGCAGAGTGCAAGGCCTCTCATTTGTATCTGCCATCCCTGATTAATGATATTTCATGCTCAGAAGTTTTTTTTTTTCTGTTAATTTCCATAAAGAGGCAAATGGATTCAGACAGCACGGCCAAATACCGCAGACGTCATTTAACTTGTGTGCGGAGTGGATAGATTCATTTAAAAGGTTTTCAGAAAAAAAAAGTTTCTTATGTAATTATTTCCCTTATTATGCAGATCTGTGTTTACAGTAGACTTGCCACCGCACATTAATATGGCCCAGTCTGGGACTGCCAGCTGCTGACTCATCCCTCGAGTCCCTACAGACACAGGCAGGAACAAGAATAGAAAGGAGTGAGGCCCAATTAAAACTCTACGCGTGTGTTAACCAGGAGATAAAACAAATCCAGTTTTCATACTGGACATTTCTGTATCTGGATACCCCTGTGGCATGGAAGCAACCCAGATTCAGGTGGAAACCTACCCAGCCAAGGTCAAATGGCTAAACAAAATGCACTTTAATTAAATTCTCTCGGTGACTCGTTGATTCCGTTAGATAGCACTTTTTTATTCTTGCCTTGTGTTAAGAAACAGTAGTTTAGGAAGACATTTTTCCCCAGGATGTTTTGGATTGTCAGGCCGGTCCTGCAACTACAGGGTTGCCATCCCAAGGTGCTTTTTGTGTGGTTCCACAAAATATACACAGACTGGCACTGTATGACTGGGCTGCTTTTCAGCAGTACCGACAGATCGCGACTTTATATTCAATCCACCCATCTTCTAACTCTTTATCGAATGCAGGGGCGAGGTGGAGCCAGAGCCTATCCCAGCCAGCAGTGGGCACAAGGACACGCCTGGACGGGGCGCCAGTCCGTCACAGGGCACACACTCACACCAGGACCAGTTCTTCCTAGAAGCCAGTTAACCTCTAGTATGTCCTTTGGACTGAGGGAGAAAACTGGAGCACCCAGTGGAAACACACACCAACTCAGGGAGAACATACAAATTCCATGTAGATAGCACCCCAGGAACTGAACCCAGGCCCCCAGAGCTCTGAAGAAGCTACTGCACACCACTGTGCTGCCCATAACCACATGCTCAAAATAATCTTTTTCTTCAGGCTTTGCCATTCCATTGATAAATGCCTCCCAACAATTACTGTTATTATTTTTTTAATGCATTAACAGAGCAGCTCAACAATATACAATACTACATGTTTATACTTGCCTGGGCTGCGAGTGGAGGGCTTCTGCAGTTTACAGTTTACAGAACTACAATTTATAGTTCTTTGAAAGTACTTGCAGCTAAACATCTAATTTCTATTTGTTCTATGAATACGCGAGTTCTAAAATAACTCCACGTACAGATTAAAACGTATTTGATTAAAGCTTTTATTTATTCCAGTTCATTTCCTTGCTCATTGACTTTAGAGCATTCTCGCGGAGCTTGTGGAAAGAGGGTATGTGCTGCTCAGATGAAGACTCAGGCTTGATTACGAAAACAAATTAATCTTTATTCAGTAGGGAGCACAGTAAATCTCTCAAAACACAAACAAGTATTTACAGTTTCATAATCATGTGTAACAAGAAGGAACTCTGAAATCCCTTGAAAACATACAGTTGAAGATATTAAGTCATGGATAAGCATTTTGTGTAAAACTGATTTAAAACAAATCTTATGTAATATAGTATTCAATTTGATGCTATGTGCTATAGCTTTCTCAGGTGCTCGTAGACTTTAAGAGAGGAGTAAAACACATTCAGCTTTAAGAACAGCATTTAATAGTGCCTTTCTGTTATGGCCCCGACATATCAGGGTCTGGCTATTACAAAACAAGTTTGTGAAGGTACTTCACCATTGCAATATTTCCTTTAAATGAATGGGTACACAGCTGGTAATTTAATCATTTGCAGGAATATGATGCTGGAGCACAACATATCTAAAATATCGGTACTGCGATAGACATCTGCTTTTCACATCATTTGATATGAACCCTGTCATACTGAAATGATTTTATCTTACAAGATTCTTTTCAGCACGAGCTGATTCCCATGGCTTTCTCCAGCTGGTTTCCGGGGGCTAGCGGTCATCTTGTCCGTAGGTGAGGACAGACTCCAAATCCTTAAAACTGATGTGTCCGTCTGAATCCCGATCCACCTCCCTGTACGGGAAAATCACAGGCAAAAAGCAGTGAGTGAGACACCGGGCAGCACCAGGTCTTCAGAGAGCCGCTGCCGGGCCTCCTCCCTCCCCCCGTGCCAGGCTGGCGCCGGCGCTGCCCCGCGGCCCGTCCCCTGGGTGCAGGATAGAGCTGCACGGCTGGGCTCGGGCCGACACAAAGACGTCTTTAAGCAGGTGCAGAGCTGAGGCGTGTTAGGCAGGGTGTTTCAGATTTAAACCGAGGACACTGTTTTTTGTTCCCCCCCCCAATCACTTCTTTCACTTGGGAATGAATTGAACTGAAAATGAATTTTGGCTGGGCCCACTTCTGCCCCAGAGTGAGGGTCTCGCCCGTCCACAGGACCGACGGACGCTGACAGCACTCGTGATCCTTTGCTGGGTAACAAATTAGTTTTTAACATGGGAAAATTTCACATTCACATCAGCCTTGGGACCACATTTCTTCAACCAATTTGTTAGACACGCTGTGGTAAAATAAAAATCATACTGTTTTCAATTTTACCCAAACTACATACTGCACTACTGCATTTGTGTGAGACCAGACCATGAAATCGGGTTAAATTCAAGGTTTAACAGCTATTCCAGTTTAGATCAAAGATGCATAAGCATATTTTGCCTGTTTACAGGACAGAGACGATATATCACCACCACATTTCTGGGTGGAGTTTGGGACTGCTGTTGCCATGGAGGACTTCAGAGTTTAGGATGCTGCAGTTTCTGAGACCAGAGCGTTGCAGAAAAAAAGAGGAAAGAGTATCTTTATGCCATGGCTCCCATTAATTAGGTCCTGCCTGTTATTAAACAAGTTTGCAAAGGTATTTTACCATTATACTATTTCCTTTAAATACACAGGTACCCCACGTGTCCCTTTAAATACACTGCTAATTTAATCATTTGCACAAATATGATTCTGTGGCTAATCCTCGATATTCTGTTCCTATAATAAGATTCAATGTTTTCAGTCCTTGCCTGTAGTGGTGACTTTAGCTGACAGGAAGATCCTGCACTATAACCCCTGCCACTGCATCTGGGGGTGCCAGGCACCAATGGCACCGAGAGCTGCAGTCGACGGTGGATGACAAGAGCATCACACCTTATTCATAATCTAGCAAACGAGCGCTCCTGCAGCTCAATCTCGTCTTCCAATCCTGATCCCACACTCCCCTAGGCTCTCTCCTGACAGACCGTGAGTACGCATTGCCTTGTAACTGAAGGGGAGACGCACCCACTGCTCACAAATACTGAACTTCACAGCAGACTTTCAGTCTGGTTCCCCTTTCCACACCAGTGTTTAAACAACTTCGTCCATCACCACCGTTTGAGCTCCTCAAGAGATAACTCTCGAAAGAGAACAACGAGATGAAAATGTACTGTAGAAATCTGATGTCTGAACATTTGAAAAACAGGTTAATATAATGCAGTAAAATAGTTCAAGCTACTTTCTGTTAAGAAGCAACTTCCTAGGAACAGAAACACCACTGTGAAATCAGTATAATGAAAAAGTCTTCCATTGCAGAGCATCAGTCTGAAATGTTGGTATTTTTTATATATATCTGGAATAACTAATATGAAACACTGATTTTTTGTTATGGTATTTTGAGCATACATAACAGTACATTAATAATTTTACTGCTTTTCTTAGCTTATTTCCTTCTTCCAATATGACTTCATTATTACTCAGTGCTCAAACTGATCAACTGAGAAAACAGCAGATGTGAGTAAAATTCGGTAGCAACAGGGAGGAGAATTAAAACAACATTAAGCATCCAGCAACTGGAAAATCATGCTTTCTTGTTCCAAGTCGCTGATCCCCATTCAGATGAATGTCTTTTGTAGCTCTAATTACATTCTAATGTCAGTGGAAGTGGAAGGGCTCTTTGGAGACATGGCTGATGTCTCCTCCTCAGTGTGCAGATTTTGGCAGGTATTCTGGTTTGTGTTGCTAGCCATTTCCGTTATTAGGGATAGCAATGTTACCACCTTGTAGTCTGATTCTGTCAGATCTTGGAAACTAGGTAAGGCTGGGCCTCATTAGTACTTGAATGGTAAATCTTTAGAAGGTAGATTGTAGTGGTGTTGGTGGAACACTAGGGGGCAGTCTTCACCCTGGACCTGAACTTCCACACCAATGTTCAGTCATGGTGATGGAGGCCTCAGTGCCGTAGGAGATCCTGACTACTTGGTCATTTAAAATCATATCTTATAAGTGAAGCATGCTGGGATCTTTCATGATTAAAACTACAACATAAATGCAAACAATGCTTATCATAATTACTAATTGCCACTATCAGGCCCAGAGATTTTCTGTATATTAGTACAGTTTTGCGCTATTCCCCCATGGAAGAGTAGAGCTATGTCATATTGGAGAGTAGCGGATAGAGATAATTCTAAAAATAAAAATCTAAATTATGATGCTGCAATGAATAGCAGCTTTGACAATGATCTCATACATTGTACAATATATGGAAAGGCTTCTTAAAATAGAAGATTCAGCTACATTCAGCTAAATGTGCACAAATACGTCTGGACACCAAAGTACAGCAGACAGAAACACAACGGACAGAAGGACAAATGGAAGCAGTCACTACAATACCTCCATTGCCCATGAGCTGTTCATGTGATGTACTACCAAAACTACAGTACTTACAGAATTTTATACCCTGGCCTAACCCACTCCCCATTTCAACCTAGCACTGAAGATGAGACAAGTCTGCCTTCCCACATCTTTGCTGCTGTTGACAGAGCAATAGTCCCCTTCAGCAGGATGGGGAACCCATGAGCTACCTTCGCTTGTGCAGTTTTCAACCCTTTGCTTACAAAGGGTGGAGCTGAACCATAAACAGAACAAGGTGCCAACAAGCCTGTCTCCTCACTGGGCAGGACAGAACGCCTGTGTGCAGAGCAAGAGCAGCCAGACAGCCTGGAACATCCTCGTTTGTCTTGGTACAGCCTCACAACCATAAGAATGGGGCTCTAGTTCATTTTCCTATATTACATTAATGTTTTTAAAGCATTTTAAAACATACAAAAGTACACTTGTCTTTTACATACCACAGAAATATATATTTTTTAATTATCTGCTATTTTCAGTCAATGCCAGGCTTTTTATTTACTCTCTGACTTCCAGTAGACACTCAATTTATTTTTGTCATTTAGTTCTGCAAAGTTTGCTGCTATTGAATTTAATTATGGCCCAGAAATACTTGGACAGCATGGCAGAAGCAGCTTTAACAAATGATGGTACTGAGGATATGGCATTTTGAAGTATGCTGTGGCATGGCGGTTATTAGCCTTCAGTAGGAAATGAAAAATTTCTTGGAAGCTAAGCTCTGATGAAGGATCATTGATGCATGCAGATCTTCTAATTACCACATTGTCATAGCTGGAATACCATCATAATCAGAATAATCCTGCTAGGCTCTGGAATGTTGTTCTCATTACTGACAGTGTGGCAGCTGTATTAGTGAATGCTTAGCTAATCAACACATCAGCAAACCAGCCAAGTCATCATTTTTTATTTATTTGTTTAAGAAATGACAGCAAAATGCTAAAAGTTACAGGCTACTGCATCGACGTAAAAAAAATGAGGTGACTGAATGACAAATTTCTGGAGCTCATTCACATATCAGAAGGGCATAACTATGCAGCGTTCATATGCATGTGACTTACAGGAGCTCCTCCTATAGTTGCAAGCCCCTGCTTTCACTTCAATTAAGCAATAAGCTCATGGTTGGTTTAAGGAGAAATAAACTGACTCCCGATGGACTAAATGTCCAAGACCATCATGTAATTAGGAGAAAGTTATTTCTGAAGGCAAAGATAACCTTATTTTGAGGGTAAGCCAACCTGATACAGGACCCATTTTATTGTTAAAAGCAATAACATATTAAAGAAATGAGTATAATCATATGTATAACTTCACAATAACTTACATAAACAAACTGCTGCCACAGCTTGAAATGCCTACTGTGTAGCATGCATGCGGTTTGCCAAGACCAGTGTGCTGGAGCCTGTGATGTGCTGAGCCCGCAGCTCCTCAATGCAACAAAACGTCTGCATGGGAGTCCACAAGCAAACACACGGGTGAACAGCCTCTCTCAGCTCTGAACACACATTAGTGCTCGCTGCTTCTGAGTGAAAGTCTGAGAAGTGAAAAATGACTTTTTTTCCAGCAAGCCTTAAACGTATAACATCTTGAGTGAGAGGCCCAGGAGCAACAGCTTATACAATATTCATATGGCTGCTCCAAGTGCACTTGCACCGTTCATTTACTGAACGCTGTAGAGATATGTTAAGAGCCATAAAGCACCGGATCAGCACATGGCACCACAAAAATCCAGTGCCTGGTGCTGCCACATCTCCCCATCCAGAAAAGGTGTTAATTCAGGAGCTCTATATGTAAACATACATATATATATAAATGTACACCACTAATCATTTAAATATGCAAACCTGTTTTTAAGAAGTACGTTTTCAGGTTCTCAAAAACATGGCCAGAATAGCCGAGATACAACCAGCCATATTTACTATAGCCCCACCATGACGGAGATTGCACTGTTGTTTTAGATTAACTTTGCCTACGTACAGTATGGCGACTGCATGAGAAACCGATTCAAATACTACTACCATCAGCCTCTTCAGCATTACCACAAGGTCAATAGAAAACTATTCAAAGTCATGTGTTTGTCAGGTTTTTTATACAGTTGTGGGTGTTCTAACATGTAGGGTTATTGAATGAACCCAAGCATCACACATCCCTAGCGTGCTCCTTAAAGTATTATTGACTATTACTATTGACAATTCAACAGCCTGTAGAGGGGACAACAGGAGACAACTTCAACATCTTACAGGAATCCACCAAAGGTTAAGTCTCTCCTCAGCAGCCCCAAACATTTCCTGGAAGACGGCACCTGACCAGAAAGTCACATGGTGCTGTGAACAGACTGAAAAAAATGCTGGGCACTTTAGTGTTAAAAATGT